CAAAGAAAAACCCAGTATTCTCAAAATTGCAGCTATCTGATAAAGTGAAAAATATAGTAGTGTTCCAACTATAACTATCACTCATTTTTTCATTCTGTGAGCATTTAGTCAGCAAATATTACCTTGGACCTACTATATGCCAGTAATTGTGCTAGGCATTGAAGTTTCAAAGATAATTAAGACAGAGTTTCTGCCCTTCCCCCCCCCCCAAATTGATTTCACAATACAAAGGCAAAGGCAAACATGTAAGTAATTATAATACCACAGGGTAGGTGGTATAAGACAGCTTTGCATGAGAGTCTTTAGGTGCTCAGATGAAGTGTCCTAGCTCCAAAACTAATATTTAAGTAGCTCGTATGTTTACATGGCAGATGAGAGGTCAAGAGAATGGCATGTGCAAAGTCATGGAGGTCTAAGGAAATTAATGCCTTTTAAAACTGACAAGACATTCAGAATGGGTGAGTATGGGGAAATGAGACTAGAAGACATATGACATTCTAAGAAATGGGAATCTTATTCTAAAGGCAACACAGAGACTATAAAGGATTTGAAGCAGAGAAAGTGATTTTAGAGAGATCTCGACTAGAAGACATATGACATTCTAAGAAATGGGAATCTTATTCTAAAGGCAACACAGAGACTTTAAAGGATTTGAAGCAGAGAAAGTGATTTTAGAGAGATCTCTTTTCATACTGTCTGTGTTGAAGAATGGTAAAACAAGAAGAAAGGAAAACTGTTAAAATTGTCTATCTCAAGTGTCCAGGCAAGAGATGATAGAAGTCTGTATTCAAAGAGCAGGTGGATTGGTGGTGGACTAAGCAATTTATCTGATAAATAGTGAGAGGGGAAGGATATGCAGCTTAAAAAGTTACCAGATAAGTTCAATTTCAAATGAAGCTGAAGCTCAGGACTAGAGTGGAGTCATGTGTCAAATACATATGAAGTTTTAAAAAGTTTAGAAGCAAATCATAGTTTAGATATAAAAGAAAACAAAAAGTAGAAACAAGATAAAGAGAAGTCGGAATAAGAATTAAGATGAGAAGGTAAACATTTTGTTGCTCAATTGAAATGCAACTTAGCTTGGATGGAAAAACAAAATCCATTTATTTGCCTTTAGAGAACAGCTAAAACAAAATTACATATACAAGGTGAAAAACTCAATAAATTCCCTAAAGTAATAATTGTACCAACCATACTTTCTGACTATAACACAATAAACCTAGAAATAAATTTGTTTAATGTATAAATTATAAGAAAAAACCCAAATACTGAAAATGGAAAAATGAATTCTAAAGATGGAGTAAAAAATGCACATAGAAAATGAGAATACTATGTATCAAAATACATGTAATGTGGACAATACTACACATAGAAACAAGCAGTAGCCTAAATACTTTAATTACTAAAAAGTGATAAGCAATAATAAACTTGCAAAGCAAGAACTGTAAGAAACTTTATATGGAGCAGTAGTAGTAAAAAAAATCTCAATGTTGTTTAAAATAGCAAAAAATTAGAACACTTAACATATGTAATAAGGATGTATTTTTTAAAAAAGCTATCGTGAACCATGATCTTGGTATATTTATTGACATAAAAATGTTCTCAATATTTTGTAAATTGAAAGACAGGAGGTTAACAATACTATACTATATTAAGCCATTTAATAAAGTATACATGTGTAAGCATAGAAATAAAATAATAAACTAACATTTATTAAATGCAAATGATATACCAGGAACTGTTCAAGCATTTCACATATATTGATTCATTTATTATCATAATAAACCATGTAGTCATTCTATTATTTCCCCCACCTTATGGATGAGGAGATTTAGAGAAAGGGAAGTTAAAGAATTTGCCCAATGTCAGAAAGCAATTAAGTGGCAGAGGCCTGGAAGAATACACATCAAAACATTCATAGTGTTTATTTCTGAGTGATGAGATTATAATGACTTTTTGTTTATTTCATTTCAGGTTATTAGTATTTTCAGTTTTTGTACATTGGACATGTATTAATTCTGAAATAAAAATTTTTAAGATGAAACCAAGATATTTAATTAGGAAACAAAAATAAGTAAAAAGACAAAGTCTGAGAGGTGTTTCTCTGAAAAATAACAATAAAATAGGTAAGTCTAACTATGTGAGAACAAAAGAGACAAAATTTTAAATAATCAAAATAAAAATGATAAATGATAAATGGAATAAAACAACTAAAATATATATTTTAGTCAAACTATTATAAATAATATCATGATATACTTTTAAATGTCATTGAACTAAGTACTTGTCTGGAAAGAAATAAAATTGACTCTTTTAGATTTATAAAATCTAAATAAAGGTTTGGAAATGTTAAAGATTTACCCACCCCAAGAGGCTCTAGGCCCAGAGAGTTTTATGAACTATTTCTTTTAAACTTCTAAAGAATAGTCATTCCCATGTCATATAACTTACTCAATTCATCTAATAAATATAGCAAAAACATAATACCAAGACCTGACAATTGCAACACAAGAGACAAAATTATAACCAATTATACTTACAAAAGCGTATGTAAGTGTCCTATATACAACATGAATATAATTTTGTAAAAAATCAAAAGAGTAACAACAATGGCCCAGAGTTAGATGTATCTGTAAAATACACTGATGGTTTAATATTAGTATATCTATTAATATAATATACTTCTATGCATGTCAATAGGTGAAAAAGAAAAAGAATCATATATAATTATTTCAACAGATAATGAAAAAGCATTTGTTAAATTTGACTTCCATTCTTGGTTTAAAAACTCTAAAAGAGGTAGAAATAAGAGAATATCTCTGTAAAATGATAAAGAATTCTACTCTCAAACAAATTGCCAGCACTCATACAACAGACACTCTAGTGACTAGAGATATGCCCATTAAAATAAGGATGAAAACAAGGATTAATTGAAATACCTGTGGAATAGAAGATACAGACCTTTTCAAAACCACATTTCTACCTGTTCTTTCCTTGATGACTTTCTCCTATTCAGGGCTTGGACTAGGGGGAAGCAAGTAAGGCCCCTAAAATGCAAAATTTAAGGACATACCTATTCTCAGGGTTATAAAATTACAGGATTGGCACTTGCATGACCCTCACAGTAAGCACCTCCTCCAAATATGCACTTTTAAAGCCTCACATGTCTCATGCAACTCCCAGCTCTGCTTCTATTCCTCCCCCCTCATGTACTTTATTAGTTCTTCCTCCTGAAAAGCCCAAGTTGGCCATTTGTAGGTAGCCAGGCAAT